ATTAAAAAATGTCCTGTTTCAGAAGTGACAGGTAACAAAGCAAGCATTTCATGTGATTTTCCTGAATGGGAAGCTACATAGCTGAAACATAAAAAATTATGGAATGCATGCATTTGAGATACCTATTCTCAGTGCTTTTTTTGTAAGCAAAATGGTGCCAGTACTCTAGGGCAAACATGCTAAGCAAAACAAAAAAAAAAAAAAAAAAAAAAAAACTTGTTGAGCCAAACAAACAAACAAAAACTGCACTGGGGCCAAAATTTGGTCGCAGCCCCTTTAAGAGCCACAGCCCTGCGCTGGGAGCAGGAAGAAAAACTCCACACATCCTGAGCAGGCTACCGAGTCGTCCCAGGAAAACATGTGCCAGTACGCACGAGGGAAATCCCATTCCCATTCCCTTTCTGTGAGCTGGGAAAATAGGTGATGGTATGCCATTCTGGGCAGTACCATCACAAAAAAAGCACTGCCTGTTCTTATTGCAACCACCTTGAGAGACAGAAATTCCTTTCTTTGCCCTGGTCTTCACTAGGACTTTATTTTAAAATAACCCCTCCAAGGTCGAATTTATAAACAGAGCGTACACACTCCCAAGCTTGTTATTTTGAAATAACGGGCTGCAGAATTTGAAATCTCTACTCCTGCTTTTCACCAGGAATAACGTTAATTCTGAAATAGTTATTTTGAAATAACAGTAGTGTGGACGCTCCAATGTCACCATTTCAAAATAATTACTCCCCAGAGTAATTCAAACTAATTACTCCCCAGTACTTCCTGGGGCTCTAAGTCTAAGGTACTGTGTCCACATTAACGGACCCTGGTTTGGACTAATTTCAAGGTTTCCCCATAGTATGGACACACTAGTTTGAATTTGTTAAATCAGGAGTTATTAAGTCGCATTTACTAATTTCAAAATAGATTCCTAGTGTAGACACCGTCTTTTTAAATAACTCAGAGCATCTGATCAAAGTGTTGTAGCACTGACTAAGCACTTGAAAAAGTGTATATATTCTCCTATATTGATAAACACCTAGCCTGTTCCCCCAATCCTTCCTCAGGGTTTATATTCTTGTCTATTTATAGACGTCTCTTGTATACACACAGGCTCAAGAACATGAACCAGCTGGTGTAGGGTTACTTTATAACCTGATTGCCTGAAGTTCTGAACATTCACATCCAGTTGAAGTCAGTGGGAGCTGTGGGTGCTTAACACCTCTGAAAATCAGCTGTTTATTAGCAGGAGCCAAATTGTAATAGTGTCTCCTCTTTGTATTTGGTTTGGTCTGGTCAGGGCCAGATTAACCCATCATTGGGCAGTAGGCAAACATACACTTATGGGCCCCTGACTTCTAGTCTAGTGGTTTTCAAACTACTGTTCATGACCCAGTACTGGGTCAGGCACTGGGTCTCTTTGCTGCAGGGGGATCAGGTGACCAATGGGAGTGCTAAGGCTGGCTACCAGCCTGTCCTGGCACCTCAGAAGTGGCCAGCAGCAGGCTTGAGTGCTAAGGCTGGCTACCAGCCTGTCCTGGCACCACAGAAGTGGCCAGCAGCAGGCTTGGCTCCTAGGTGGTGGTGGGGAAAGCGCACAGGACTCTGCGCACTGCCCCTGCCCCGAGCACTAGCTCCGCACTCCTCTTGACTGGGAACCTGCTGCTGGCTGTTTCTGGGGTGCAGCATGGTCTGTAGTGCCAGCGCAGGCAGGAAGCTGCCTTAGCACCCCTGCTGCACCGCTGACTGAGAGCCACTCAAAGTAAGCCCCTCCTGCCACAGCCCTGTCACCGTCCCCCCTCAAAGCTGGAGCCCCCTCCTATATCCCAAAGCTCTCATCCTCAGCCCCATTCCACAGCCCACACTCTAGTCAAATTATGTCAGGTTGGAGGCAGGGGGGAAAGTAACTTACATTTCTTACAGGTACTGTCCTAACACAACCCAAGGGAGGGGGCTTATAGCAAAAGTTGTGATACAACTATACCTGTAAGAAATTTAAGTGTGCAGTGGAGCACGGGGGGAAGGGGGGGCGGGGGCGCTCAGGGCAGAAGGTTGGGGTGGGCAGAGGTGCAGGAGATAGGGAAGGAGGCTGGAGATGTGGGGGGTGCTGGAGACAGGGTTGGAGTGATGAGGGGCTTGGAGCAGGGGTTTTGGATGTATGAGGGGCTCAAGGCACAGGGTTGGAGTGTGTGTGTGGGGTGCAGGAGTGTTATGGCAGGGGCTGGAGTGTATGAGGGGCTCAGGGCAGGAGTTTAGGGTATGTAGGGGTACAGGAGTTAGGGCAAGGGGCTGGAGATGTGGGGCTGCAGGAATCAGAGCTGGATGAGGAGATCAGAGCAGGGGGTTCAGGTGTATGAGGGACTCAGGGCACAACATTTGGAGTGTATGGGGGGTGCAGGAGTGTTAGGTCACGGCAGGACAGGGGGTTGCCACCAGCCCTTCCTGCAGCCAGATGGGAGCTGGACCACTAAGCCTGCCTCAGGATGGGGGCCAGAGATAGGCTGTTGCAGCCAGATGGGGGCTGAGCCCTGATTGGGGCCTTGTTGGCCAGGCTGCCAGGGCAGGAACTAGGGATGTAAAAATTTAGTCGATTAACAGATAAGCAAAAGCTTATAGGTTAATGCTGTAAGCTACACGCATTGTGCCCCCCGCCCCCCCCACTTGCCAGTAAATTATTTAGCAGACTGGCCAGCAGCCCAGCTCAGTCCTGGCTTGTGATGGGTCCGGGACCTACCCCCGCTGCAGCTTTGCATTTAAAGTGTATTAGGAGCTGGGTAGGCAGGCAGCCCAGCTCAGTTCCGGCTCACGCCAAGTTCAGAAGCTCAGACCACTCCCTAGACAGGGGCTGCTGCCACCCCACATTGCTGCCTCTTTATCAGAGGCAGCAGCACAGGACAACAGGTAGCTGGTCCACAAGGGGAGCTAGTTTTTAAACTGGCTTCTCTCATGGACCAGCTCCCAGCTGTCACCCCACGCTGCTCTCTCTGATACAGTGGCAGTAGCACAGAGTGGCAGGGGTCTTCTTGGGAGTGAGGCTGGAGAGTACTGGCTGCTAGCCTCGCCCCCAGGGACTATACAACAGTGGACTAACTGATAAGAATTCATGAGGTTACTCAACTATTCAATTCACCAATATTTAACATCCCTAGTAGGAACCTGAACTCGGCCACAGGGGCTGAGCTCCTGCAGCAGTCGCTGGGCTGCCAGAGCTAAGCTGTGAGGTCTGCCCCAGGAGCACAATGGCTGGGGACAGACTACAGAGGTTAGATGGAGGTTGGAGCCCCCACCACTAGCCCCTCTCACTAACCCAGTTGAGAGCACGCACACATCCCTTACAGCACGCCTTCAGTTGGTCCCTTTACATGAGCTGAGTGCCCCAGCCGGCTCTTGCCAGAGTGCAGTCAGTGCTTACTGCAGTGGTGCACCGAGGCACACTGCCTTACTTCCTTACACTCTGGTTGCAGGCTCAAGTGATTTTCTTCAACTGAGCCATGAGAAAAAAAGTTTGAAAACCACTGTTCTAATTTGAATAACTACGAACAGCTGACATACACACCATCATTGGTCAGTCTACAGTATAAGAGCTCTTCCTGAAATAAGGCAGAGTATAAAGAACTCACATCAGGCCTGTGGTATCTTCCAAAGTTGTGTGTAGCTTGAAAGCCAAAGGTTATTGGTAATTTAAATTCTAATTTTATGAAACATAAATATGAAAGTAAGATAGCTGAGTGAGAACTCACGAGAAATCCTGTTGTTGCATCTCTGGCTCTTCTCCATCCCTCTGGTTATATATTAGTCAGATTTTTAAGACATGAATGTCAGTTGTTGCCACAGTGCACTTTCAGCGTTCTTTTGCAAGCCTTTTCTAAGGGAAACACAAATGTGTTAATTTAATTTCATATCTCCCGTGGAACAGAATGATCAAAGTGATGATTTCTGGAACACAGACTCACTCAGAAGGAAATGCCTCTTTTTATAATGTTAAACTGACAGATGAGGATAAAATCCAATATTCAAATAGTTTGATGGTGCTACTCCTTGCAAAAAATGTTAATAGCGGCCATCAAATACATTCAATTTTATGTACATTTTAGAATTGCTGATTACAGCAAACCTCTTATCAAGATTGTGGGGGTGGGGCAGACTTGGACTGCAAACAACATGACCAGAGTGAAATTACTTACCTGTAAGGAATATTTTTGTTTTTCCAACAACACTTTCAGTTTAATTATGGCTGTAAATGTTATTTTTGTAAAAACATTATTTTGCAAACTGAGCCAATTAGTTCCTCTTTATTGTCTCAGACTGTTAAAAGAAACAGTGGAAACACATATGATTAAACATTTCCTTGCATTTTTTGTAAATCAAACAGCAACAATGTCTAGGGCATTATAACCAGAAATTGAAACGGACTGGGAACAAAACAGCAGAAATTAAACTGCAGAAACAATTAAAAGTAAATTAAAAGTAAAATTAAAAAAACCCCTTCTACTTTAATTATTAGTAAGCTAGGTACGTCCATTTACAAGAACAGAGATTATTTACAAAGATGTAATTTTAAAACCATTTAGCGATTAATTGCAGTTTCTCTTGAATATTGAAAGCACAGATTTGTGTGTGTATGGGGGGGAGTCTGTTGTTTGGGAGGAGTGAAATATTTCTGGCTTTTTCATTACAAATATATCAATAAATATTCAGATCCTCCAGGTTTCACATTTTGGAGGATTGATTTGAATACCAATTTTGAACCCCTTTTACGATGGAGGATTTTTGCCGTGTTTCCATCAGACCCCGGCAGACTCCCTTGTTCTTAATGTCCCTGTATGGGAACAGATCCCAGGCTATTGAAGGCGGATGCTCTCAAGACGCCTGGCTCCCAGCGTAGCTCCCTTCTCAACACCTTTACGTTTACCTATACGAACTACAACTCCCATGAAGCTCTCGGAGCACAGTAGGGCACGTAACACCCCCTAGCGGTCGCTGATGCTACGTGCGCTTTAAATCCCGTGAGGAGCCGGGTGGCTAGCGGTGCTTGAGCTGGCAGTCGGGGTGGCAGCCCTGCTGCAGAGACCAGGGACCTAGGTTAGGCGGAGTGAAGGGGAAACAAACGCACCGCCCAGCTGAGGGCTGGGGACAACCCCTGATGAGGACTTGGGGGGCCAAAGCCCAGCAGTAAATCCTTTGCCAGGGAAGCGGGCGGAGAGAGGCGTCTGCATTGCAAGCCCAGCAGCGAGAGCCCAGCAGAGCTGCAGACATGGGGAATCGAGGGATGGAAGACCTCATCCCCCTGGTCAACAGGCTCCAGGATGCCTTCGCGGCTATCGGTCAGAATGCAGACCTGGACCTGCCCCAGATAGCCGTGGTGGGCGGACAGAGCGCCGGGAAGAGTTCAGTGCTGGAAAATTTTGTGGGCAGGTAAGATTTTTAAAATGCAGCCGATTATAGGGGAGGTTATGGGAGCAATGCATTGCTCAACGGACATGCCATGCAATGCTTAATGCAGTGCAATACAGGACAGAGGAGGGGGGCCGATCTTGCCCTCTTCAACTTGAGGTTCTTGGGAGAACCGTCATCCTAGCCCCTGCTACACACACACACACACACACTGCACCCTACAATGCAGATATCAGGCATCTCTGTGAACAGTGACATTCCCTGGATTGTCACCTTCACTAGCAAGAGAGCCCTCTTCCCCTCAGCATAGAAGTGCATGTGTGTGTTTGTATAAATGTCTGCTTTGAAATGGTAATATCTAATTGGGAATTGATCAAAGCAGATCAATGGCGGGCAGCATATTGCTTGGTGGGCTGGGAGGGGTGAGGTGGAGAGTGAGTGTGAAAGAGGTTGAGGGAAGAATGCAGCATCAGGCAAATCCTGCTTTTGGAGTGACTAATGCACAGAAGAAGCCATTTGTTTGGGGGTGGAGAGGGAGTAGGAAGGAACGGAGCTGATGTGCTGTCCACATCCCAGGGGATTTAATGGTTTTAATCCTAAATCGTTTATTTATTTATTTTTGGGAGCTACATACAAGAAGGCAGAATCCTGGGGATGAGCAAGAAGCCAGGATGGTGGAATTCTCCCCCCTCCCCTTCTCGCCCCCCCGCTGTTGGAGGACAATTGCTGTGGGCACTGGCAGGGTGGGGAGGAAGGCACTGCTTCAAGGGGAAAACGAATAACATAAATGGCTGCATATAAAAAAATCATGGAAATCCAGTAAAGCACAGACTAGTGCTCCATATGTTATGTAATGTCACGGACAGAAATGTCAGGGGGAAAATAGCCACACTCTGGTGTGTCCTTTATTTTTATCACGTCAGAGACCTGCGAGCCAGAACCAAAAATGATACAGGTTCCACATCTTTTTTGGCAATGTATTATCTAAGGTGATTTAAAAAAATACTAATCAGTGAATATTGTGTGTGCAGATAAATAATTGTATAAAAACCTGTTAATACCAAGATGCCCTTTAGCCATGGTGATCTGAGGACTAGCTCCATCAAGACTAGATTTCTTGTTTGCTTTAAGTTTCACCCTGAAGAATCCCACAAGAAAATGCTAGGAAGATTGGATTCACATAGCATGTCCTCAGCTCCTGATTATACCTGGCTAGATATAGGACATGCCTTGAACCACACGCAGCTACCTAAAGATGGATGTGCTTGTTGTGAGGCTGTGCAGCAGTGGACTTTAAGTTCAATTTCATTTTCCCCCTCCCCTTTCTCTGTCCTCCATAGTGGCTGCCATGTCAGGAGCTGGGGGGAGAAGCAGAAAAAGCAATGGTTATTCCCCTATGTGTTCAACTCCCTGGGTGCTACCATTTTGTGACTGTGATATTCTGGTGCTTTCCCTTCATGTGACCTTCACATTAATCACCAGCAGTTTCAACAAATACCAGATGATCAGGGAAGGTGGTCTGCACACACATAGTATACACAACACCTGGAGTGTATCCTGAGCTTGTTTGTAGCTTGCTTAAGCTATTGTGGCCCTTGCTTGCTATAATCCTTCCCTATTAGGCACTGCTATCCTTTATGACCAAGATACAGGTTACTGCTGATTTCCCTGGGAGGAATTACTTTCTTCCACCAACTGCATTCTCCCTCTTCTTCCCCTGCTTTATTGCATGGGCACTCTCCTTCTCTTTCGCCCCTACTAGCCCCTGCACTATGACATCTGCTATTTTATAGCTCTATTATCATTGAAAGAGTCTGTCATGAGCCCAAATAGCTCCAGTTTTGGTGGTATTTGAACAGAATAAGTCCAGTATGCTGTACAGGGGCTCAGGTGACCCTGAGCAATGAGACTCAGTATGCATTAGGAAGATGCCACTGCTGCTGTTTTTGAGGAACAAGAAAACATAGCAGGAATCAGATTTGTTTAAATAAAATCTCCCATTGTCACATACTCAAAAGAGCCTGAGATTCTTCTCTGCTGATTTTCAATGGTCTATTTCAGAGATTCCATTCTGAATTAGTGTACCTGGGAATCAGGATGTGGGAAGGCTGTCCAGAAGCCTCCGCTATAATTATGGTTTATTTGTATTACCACAATACTTAGGAGCTCCCATCGTGGAGCAGGACCCCATAGTGGTAAGTGCTGCACAAATACAGAACAAAAAGATAGTTTCTGCCCTCAAAAGCTTACAACCCACTGTGATCAAACCTGCTGGGAAGAGAAAAAGGGTTCCCAGAACTGTTACTGAGCAAAATGTTGGTTAGCCCGTTGAGTTTGTTGCTGTCATGGTCCCCCCAAATCTATCTTTTGTGGAAGTTCTATATGGTGACTACAGCAAGGATGTACCAAGTGTGTTCATTGAGCAAGAGCTGTTTCAGAGCAAATAGCTCCTTTCTTTTAGATAGAGCAAGCAGAAGGGGACAAATTGTAACTTCACTGATTCCAATGCAGAGCTTGAGCTTAGCGGCTTGACGGAGGGTGAATGAACTGAATTATATTATCCATAATTTGCCAGTGACCTTTGTCTCAGTAGGGCTCATGACCTCACTACATCCTATCAGTTGTCTCCATGGTAGCACATTATGGTGCCAGAGCTTTTACGATAATGAAGTAACAAAGGTACCCACACAGGAGCTGACAGGAGAGGATACAAACAAAATAATTCAGGGAAATAATCGGAGAGAAAACAGAAAACGAATCAAAGGGAACTACTGAGTTCTTCAGTTTGATGCCATTAAGTGGCTGGTGGCTCTGGAGATTGGTAATAGATCTGAAACCTCTTGCCACTGGAAGTACCTCTCTACACTACACAACCAATCATGTTTAAATATGGCTGTAACTCAGCCATGGTCTAAGGCGGTGCTCTTCATTATTTTTGAAGTGGGAGCTACTTTGGCAAAAACCCTTCTATGTGAGCCACATTCCATAGGCCCCACCCCTTTCCTAAAGCCCCACCCTGCTCATTCCATCTCCCCCACTCACTCTCCCCCAGTCTCACTCATTTTCACCAGGCTGGGGAAGGGGGTTGAGGTCCAGGAAGGGGTATGGGATCTGGGCTGGTGCCAAGGGGTTCGCAGAGTAGGAGGGGACTCTGGGCTGAGCCTGGGGTGGAGGATTGGGGATACAGGAATGGGCGATGGGTGCAAACTCTGAGAGGGAGTTTGGGTGCAAGGAGGGGACTCCAGGCTGGTACAGATTGTTGGGGTGCAGGAGGGGTGCAAGGAGGGGACTCCAGGCTGGTGCAGATTGTTGGGGTGCAGGAGGGGTATGGGTTGCTTGCTCTGGGAGGGTGTCAGGGCTGGCACAGAGGGTACAGGTGTAGTAGAAGGTACAGGGTGTAAGCTTGGGGCTGGAGCAGGGGTTTGGGCTGCAGGAGGGAGTTGGCTGTTTCTGGGAGTGGCATGGGGCCTGGATAGGCAGGGAGCCCGTCTTAGCGGCAGCCCGACTACTCTACCAGAGATAGCAACCAACAGGGAGCTGCACTTTGGGTCCATGAGAGCCACCACTGGCTTGCAGGCCTTGCAATGAAGAACACTGTTCTAAAGTATTTTTCCTTATTTGTGTGCCCACAGAAAGTCATCTTAGGGAGCCCTGTTTTAATCTTCACCAGTATCTAGGCTAAACTGTGTCTCTTTAACATGATTATGACATTTTTTTTCTGGGAAGAAGAATTTGTGTTCTAACTTGATGGGCTCACACACAACAAAATGTGGTTATTGCGATAGCCTATATCACTGTTTTTTTGGGGGTCAGGCTGAGAGAGAGTTTGGGTCATCACCACCTGACCACTGTTTGGTGCATAATGCCAAAGGATGTTGTGAAGACCAGGACTTTAATAGGGTTCAGAAAAGAACTACATAAATTCTTGGAGGTTAGGTCCATCAATGGCGATTAGCCAGGATGGGTAGGACTGGTGTCCCTAGCCTCTGTTTGTCACAGGCTGGAAATGGATGACAGGAGAGGGATCATGTGATGATTTCCTGTTGTGTTTACTCCCTCTGGGCCACTGTGGGCATTGGCCACTGTGGGCAGACAGGACACTGGGCTAGATAAACGTTTGGGCTGACCCAGTCTGGCCGTTCTTATGTTCACAATATGAAATGAGTTTGGTGGTTTTCAGCCCAGTTCTCCATGGAGAGGTATCCACATTAAAAAACAAACAGACCCCAACCCAGTTGACAATAGTTGGTCCTTTTGATGGGGATGTTTCAGCAGAGAGGCTGAGGACTAAATGTATCATGAAGATTAAACTCCCCTTCCCTCTTAATTCTAGAGAGAGTTCCTGCAGATCAGGGGTTTTCAACCTTTTTTTCCCGAGGCTCCTCAAGCATGCTACTCCACAGCCCACCTGTGCCATAATTGGTTTTCTGCTTATAAAAGCCAGAGCTAGTGTTAGGGGGCAGCCAGCAGGTCCACTGCTTGGGGCCCCACCCTACATGGGCTCCCATGAAGCGAAGTTGCTCAGGCTTCTACTTCAGCCATAAGTGGCAGGGCTTAGGGCCCCAATCTTCAGCCAGGTTCAGTGAGGCTTCAACTTTCTGTCCTGGGCCCCAGCAAGTCTAATACTGGTCCTGCTTGGCAGAACCCCTGACACCTGCAGGGGGCCCAGATCTCTGGTAGAGAACCACTGCTCCAGATCACATCGGCATGGTAGGATGGGGCTAGTTTAACTAACATCATACCTGATCCATGGATAAACAGGACTTCCGTCTCTAGGGCTTCCAAGCCAGCCTCTTCTGCTACCACCAACAGTCAGCGTATGCTGGATTTTTCAAAATAGAGAGGAACTACACTGAATGCAATAAATGTTATTTTGTTTGATATCTTATCAAACAAGTACTTCTTCTTCTGAGTGAGATGGTTCGCTAGTCACTGCTAATTACTCTTCCAGTATCACTTACTCCACTGTTAACAGATTACCCAACAATGCAAAGCCTGTATTTATAATAGCAGATGTTGTT